ATTCAAATTATTTAGTAGACAAAGAAATTGCTGAGGTCTTTAAAAACTTTTTGAAAGTAATAAGTAATTTTGATCATTACAAAATATTTTTATAACTCAAATTCTGAAGTAATGTCCTTGACAAAAAAAAGTAATAATAAATAAATAATAGGAATTATTTAATAACAAATTTTAAATGTAAGTTAATTAATGTAAAAATTAACTTTTTCGTCGTTGAAAAATATAATAACCTTGGACATTTTTATTGTTTTTGCAAAATACGAGCATGAAACGGTTAACTGATTCCTATAATGTTTAAAATATTCTTTAAATCTATTTTTATTTTATTTTTTAAGTAAAACTTCTTTCTTGAGGTATAGATGGAGAAAAAAATCGTCACGATAAAGTTAATTTTTACATTAATTAACTTACATTTAAAATTTGTTATTAAATAATTCCTATAATGTTTAAAATATTCTTTAAATCTATTTTTATTTTATTTTTTAAGTAAAACTTCTTTCTTGAGGTATAGATGGAGAAAAAAATCGTCACGATAAATGAAACGTCACTAAAAAATGAAACGGTGTATGAATGCGTGTGTATGACTGCGACAGAAATCGCTTGAATGGTTAAATGTTATTCAGYGTGTATTTTATGTTTTTTTTCGTACTGATTTTTTTSACTCCTTCCCTATCTCACTTATGATTTAACGGACCCAGTACTTACGAAAGAAGTTTTACTTCCCCAGAGTGTAACTCACACACTCTCATTTGGAATACACTTATTCTGACAATGTTTTAATAAAATGATTTTTTTAATACACGTACAATTTACAACAATATCATACTTTTAATTAAAACTATTATTGATCATTAAACTGTTTAAATGAAAATATTAATTGTTACTTAATTAATACGCAATTCGTTTTCAGACGTTGAAGACTACGCCATCGAGATGGCCACGATTGCTCAGTACAACGACGAAACGTTTCAGTCAATATCTAAAGTGATGGGACGCGGTAGTGGTGGCATCATCAACTTACCACAAGAGATGTCGATCGCCCAAGAACCAATTAATTCTTCGGGCCGAGGAAGTTTTGACACTAATGGCATTGATTCAGCGTTTATCGGTGGCCAGGTCAAAACCACCAGCACGGGTGTAAGTAGCATTAGTGCTAGCACTAGCCCTGAAACTAGCACTCGCACTAGTACCAGMACAAGCTCTAGCTCCGCCAGCTCCGTGTCCAGCACGAACTCTTTAACCAGCACTACTAGCACCACACCAAAAAACAAACCGCAAATTTCATCGACAATGATTATGAAACAAACAAAGACGATAACACCGTCACCCATTGTAACCGCTACTGAGACCACGACTCACACCGGTTCGGCCACCTACACCACGGCGTCTCACATTACGACACACGCGACTGTAGTAAATAAAGCGACCCCCTCGGCCACGAAAACCGGCACAACTGGCCGCATTGCGATAACCGTTGGCGGCCAACCGACATCTACCAGTAAAAGTCATCATCATCTTCAACGTGGAAACTCTGTCTCTAACACCACTTCTAACACCAACAACAATGCGCCTGTCTACGCCACTACGACTACCCTGCCTAAGAGCCGTCCAACTGCACAGTTTACGACCACCGAGAAGATACACACTGTGGCCAAAATATTGACTGCCGAGCCCGGAGACATCCGTCGAGCCAACGTTCGCCGGCCAACCACGTCAACGCTGGCAGCAATCACGACTGTCGTAGCTAAAATACCATACACTGTAGTCTCCAGCTCGGCCACCAGCTCTACTAGCATCCCACTAAAAACATTGCGGTCATACGCCAAATTTATGGATGGAGATGTGACCACCATGAAAAACAGCCAGACAACCGAGCCGCCGATTCACGTGTACAAGAAAATCGATTTACCGGAATTGCCAATCAGCGATGACGGTGATTACGTGCGCAAGCCCACAGTCATCCCATTCTCCARGATCTTATCAACCACGTTTTCTAGCTCCGTAAACAGAAATGGTAAGAATATGGTTACCATGCGGCATTCGACACCACTGGCCATGGCCGCTTTTACTACTATTAGCACTTCTACTGGATCTGCCGACGCACTCAACAACAGCACATATGCCGCCGACGCCGAAACAGCTACCACAAACACAGTATCTGATACATCGTCACCCGTGTCCTCCGTTTCAAGTGAAGATACCAACCACTGGAACCTCATCCCGTCGCCCCCGTCGTCTCTGCCTACCAAAACTGCCAACGGCGCTGCCCCTGCCACCACGACTAGTGCTTCCGTGACTACTGCATTCGACGTAACATCCACCGCCACCAATTTTGCGTCTTCAAACGACGCARAAACCTCCACTGTCACCTCTGCACTCACCACAACCACCATTACCACCACTGCCAATACCTCCACTGAAGCTGCTACCACAACTACTGCTCTTGCCAACCACCGGAAAATTGTCAACTATGACGCGTATACCGACCACCCCAATCGCAGCCGTCACATAGTCCGCCCCAAACAGCAGCATCACCATTCCTATCCTTACATCTTGTATAGACTTTTGGGATGAACGGCATCCTATATCCTCACATACACTCCCTTTCAAGTACTCTAAGTAATTACCGGAGATCTATCACCCAAAACATTTTATATCCTGCTAATTTCATATCCTTTGTCATCCTTACCCTAAAAAACATTCAGTACACAAAATACATTCGTTACTTATTTGGGTACATAAAATATTATACTGTAAAATAATTAATTCTAAATTATACCCTCCAACAGTATAAAATAACAATCTACAAACATTTTCCCATAAAGAGCTCAATTCGCCATTTTGAAATACAAATTCTTTTACGTACGTGTCATTTTCAACCACATGTATTTTAGTTTTTAGAAACCCTTGGCTATAGATTGGTGCGTCTACCATTAATTGGGATATGAGGTTTTATAATAACTAACTAAMAAATTTGCCGGGTTTCACACAAAATAACATCCAATAGTCGATGTAAATATACAATTTACTACAGTACAATTTCATTTGAAATCATGATTTCATATTCATTATTTATCACATCTCAATTCTCGGCTTCTATTTAAAATAAACAAAATTACAATTTCACCATAGATACAAGTCCTAAAAAAGTGCAAGAAAAAACGGAGTCTGGCAAAGATTTTTGTTTTCCTTAATACAATGAACTAATTCCTGATTAAAATATATTCCGTTGATTCTTATTTTGAAATTAAAAATTAAAAGATTAAATAACACTAAACCTTCTTATACCGGAATTATACTAATTCATTTGAAACACTATCTCATTTGAACTGTTTTTATCAGATTGCTTAATTAAAACACAATTATTTGATGATGAATTCTCAAAGATATTTTAGATTTGTCATTAGTTATGAATTATAATATATAATAAAATAGCATTATACCTCTTTTTAAATTTTTACCACATATATATTTATATTTTTAATATTAATTTCAATAACTATTTATTTAATGATTACTCAATCAAAATCAAAATAATTGATGATAAAAAGAATTATTTGCATAATTGAAGTAGGTATCTAATTAATAAATGGGTACTTGTACGTTATCACGCTTACTGCGCGCCACATAATATAATATGCGTTATCGCGACTACCTCATATTATGGGTTATTATAGCGACCCCGTTTTATAAGCGATTGTATTTCTAATTCTATTTTTTCCAGTGTCGTTATAATCGCACTTATCGCAATTTCCTATAGACTGGCTGAGTAACTTTTAGGACACTTAGACATTTAGTCACAACCACGCTGTCACGCTGGTAATAGACAGTAGTCTTGTTATACAGTTACGATTATTTGGCAATGGATCTGTGGAACTTAACAAAAGATGCCGTAGCTTTTTTTCAAGAAAAAGACATTTTACCACAAATAAGAATATGCTCGAACGGTCACAAAGCGAAACTCTCTTCTGGAAAACAACTATTTTGGAAATTATACTAACATAAAAATTTTACATTTTCTATTATCGCATATTTTATTTTATTTATTTGACATATTATCAATAAATACAAYGACATTAGCATTGGATAGTTTTTATTATAATAAACGTATTAAAAATAGGTTGCATTAAATAATATGCGTTCGAAATCAAGGTAGTCGCGACGAGTCGGCGGTAGGTACGCACAAGTATCAATAAACGCAATAGTGCAAATATAGTAAAAATATTAACAGAAATTATCAAAATTTTAATAGATTAGGCACAATTTTATCYAACTATTTTGATTATCATGATAAAATATAGGTAAATATATGTAAGTCAACTCATTCTGACAAAGTACCATGTATTTAAATTTTAAACACTGATGAATTCATTAATATTACAAAGATGCAACGATATTGAGATATTGAGATATTTTATCAAATCTTGCTTTTCCAAATTCCAGTAATTGATGTATTTGAAATGTTTTTAATATAAATGTACTTAGCTAAAATGGTATAAAATCTATTATTAAATATCATGATTTATTATAACATCAAACATTAAAAGATTACTTACATAACCTATATTATTAATGATCATATAATACGGTGAAACTTTTGAAGTTAAAATTGTAAGCCTATTATAATTTTAACTGTCATTAATTATTATTATATACAAAAAAACATTCATAGGTAAATAATAACTATATATAGGAAAATATTTTCAATTTGTAAACTAGTTTTTATCTTGAAAACATTGTTTAGCATTTGATATATTTATCTAATTTGGCTAAATTCATTAGGTACAATTGCAATTTTATATATTATTACCTATATTCATAAAAGTTTATTTTTTTCTCTAACATATAAATTATAATCTTTATCTTTTAGATATCTAATAATTTTTAACGAAATGAAAAGATGTATAATATTATATTAAAATGTGGTCAACTGATTCTTCATAGAATACCCGAAAATGTTTGCTTTTATCAACTTAACGATATTATATTGTAGATCACAGGAATGAAATTGGTCGCAGTATAGCTTTAAAACGATTTAATTATTAATCATTATAAACAATAAAGTAGTTTATTGTTAAAATATACACTTTTAGTTAGTCATTGAAACATGTGTTCGTCAATTTGTAGTCATTTGTAGTATTTTAAAATATAATAATCTTTGCTGTCTAAAATCGAGTATTTTATTC